GGAACATCTGGGTATCTTTGGAGACCTTTGGGGGCCTTGGGGGCATCTGGGGAGCTTGAAGACTTTCAGGGATCTTTGGGGACATCTGGGGAGCTTGTGGACATCTAAGGACCTTGGGGGACCTTCAGGGATCTTTGGGGACCTTCAGGGATCTTTGGGGACCTTCAGGGGTCTTTGGGGACCTTGGAGACCTTCAGGAACCTTGGGGACGTCTGGGGAGCTTGGAGACATCTGAGGATCTTTGAGGACATCTAAAGACCTTGGGGACATCTGGGGACCTTGAAGACCTTTGGGGGCCTTGGGGACATCTGGGGAGCTTGGAGACCTTCAGGGATCTTTGGGGACATCTAGGGATCTTTGAGGACATCTGGGGAGCTTGGGGACATCTGGGGATCTTTGGGGGGCAGCTGGGGACCTTGTGGGGCAGCTGGGGATCTTTGGGGACCTTGGAGACCTTCAGGGATCTTTGGGGAACATCTGGGGATCTTTGGAGACCTTTGGGGGCCTTGGGGGCATCTGGGGAGCTTGAAGACTTTCAGGGATCTTTGGGGACATCTGGGGAGCTTGTGGACATCTAAGGACCTTGGGGGACCTTCAGGGATCTTTGGGGACCTTCAGGGATCTTTGGGGACCTTCAGGGGTCTTTGGGGACCTTGGAGACCTTCAGGAACCTTGGGGACGTCTGGGGAGCTTGGAGACATCTGAGGATCTTTGAGGACATCTAAAGACCTTGGGGACATCTGGGGACCTTGGAGACCTTCAGGGATCTTTGGAGACATCTGGGGATCTTTGGAGACCTTTGGGGGCCTTGGGGGCATCTGGGGATCTTTGGGGACATCTGGGGACATTTGGGGATCATGGAGGACCTTGGAGACCTTCGGGGACCTTGGGGGGCAGCTGGGGACCTTGGGGGGCAGCTGGGGGACTTGGGGGGCATCTAAGGACCTTGGGGGGCAGCTGGGGATCTTTGGGGACCTTGGAGACCTTCAGGGATCTTTGGAGACATCTGGGGAGCTTGGGGAACATCTGGGGAGCTTGGGGACCTTTGGGGACATCTAAAGACCTTGGGGACATCTGGGGACCTTGAAGACCTTTGGGGGCCTTGGGGACATCTGGGGAGCTTGGAGACCTTCAGGGATCTTTGGGGACATCTAGGGATCTTTGAGGACATCTGGGGAGCTTGGGGACATCTGGGGATCTTTGGGGGGCAGCTGGGGACCTTGTGGGGCAGCTGGGGATCTTTGGGGACCTTGGAGACCTTCAGGGATCTTTGGGGAACATCTGGGGATCTTTGGAGACCTTTGGGGGCCTTGGGGGCATCTGGGGAGCTTGAAGACTTTCAGGGATCTTTGGGGACATCTGGGGAGCTTGTGGACATCTAAGGACCTTGGGGGACCTTCAGGGATCTTTGGGGACCTTCAGGGATCTTTGGGGACCTTCAGGGGTCTTTGGGGACCTTGGAGACCTTCAGGAACCTTGGGGACGTCTGGGGAGCTTGGAGACATCTGAGGATCTTTGAGGACATCTAAAGACCTTGGGGACATCTGGGGACCTTGGAGACCTTTGGGGGCCTTGGGGGGCATCTGGGGATCTTTGGGGACCTTGGAGACCTTCAGGGATCTTTGGGGGGCAGCTGGGGACCTTGGGGGGCAGCTGGGGATCTTGGGGACATCTGGGGACCTTGGGGACCTTCAGGGATCTTTGAGGACATCTAAAGACCTTGGGGGGCATCTGGGGACCTTGGGGGACATCTGGAGACCTTGAAGACCTTCAGGGACCTGGGGGGGAATCTGGGGAGCTTTGAGGACATCTGGGGACCTTGGGGGGCAGCTGGGGATCTTTGGGGCCCTTGGAGACCTTCAGGGATCTTTGGGGACATCTAGGGATCTTTGAGGACATCTAAAGACCTTGGGGACATCTGGGGACCTTGAAGACCTTTGGGGGCCTTGGGGACATCTGGGGAGCTTGGAGACCTTCAGGGATCTTTGGGGACATCTAGGGATCTTTGAGGACATCTGGGGAGCTTGGGGACATCTGGGGATCTTTGGGGGGCAGCTGGGGACCTTGTGGGGCAGCTGGGGATCTTTGGGGACCTTGGAGACCTTCAGGGATCTTTGGGGAACATCTGGGGATCTTTGGAGACCTTTGGGGGCCTTGGGGGCATCTGGGGAGCTTGAAGACTTTCAGGGATCTTTGGGGACATCTGGGGAGCTTGTGGACATCTAAGGACCTTGGGGGACATCTGGGGACCTTGGGGACCTTCAGGGATCTTTGGGGACCTTCAGGGGTCTTTGGGGACCTTGGAGACCTTCAGGAACCTTGGGGACGTCTGGGGAGCTTGGAGACATCTGGGGATCTTTGAGGACATCTAAAGACCTTGGGGACATCTGGGGACCTTGGAGACCTTTGGGGGCCTTGGGGGGCAGCTGGGGATCTTTGGGGACCTTGGAGACCTTCAGGGACCTTGGGGGGCATCTGGGGACCTTGGAAACATCTGAGGATCTTTGAGGACATCTAAAGACCTTGGGGGGCATCTGGGGACCTTGGAGACCTTTGGGGACCTTGGGGACATCTGGAGACCTTCAGGGGTCTTTGAGGACATCTGGGGATGTTTGGGGGGCATCTGGGGACCTTGGAGACCTTTGGGGACTTTGGAGACATCTAAGGACCTTGGGGGGCAGCTGGGGACCTTGGGGGGCAGTGGGGGAGCTTGGGGACATCTGGGGACCTTGGAGACATCTGGGGATCTTTGAGGACATCTAAAGACCTTGGGGACATCTGGGGACCTTGAAGACCTTCAGGGATCTTTGGGGACATCTGGGGATCTCTGGGGATCTTTGGGAACCTTTGGGGACATCTGGCTCCACGGTGGTGGCCACGTCCCCGTGATGGTGGCCACATCCCTACACTTGCTTCCATCGCCCCGTAGCCACGTCCCCATGGTGGTGGCCACGTTCCTCACCCCACGGTGGTGGCCATCTCCTTGTTCTTGGCTCCATGGTGGTGGCCACATCCCTACACTTGCTTCCATCGCCCCGTAGCCACGTCCCCATGGTGGTGACCATGTTCCTCACCCCACGGTGGTGGCCACATCCCCATGATGGTGTCCCCATGGTGGTGGCCACATCCTTGCTCTTGCTTCCATCACCCCATAGCGATGTCCCCATGGTGGTGGCCACGTTCCTCACCCCACGGTGGTGGCCATCTCCTTGTTCCTCACCCCACAGTGGTGGCCACGTCCCCATGGTGGTGGCCACATCCTTGCTCTTGCTTCCATAGCTCCATAGAGATGTCCCCATGGCGTTGGCCACCCCGTGGGGTTGACGATCCCTTCTCCCCCCCACAGGTGACCTACCAGCTGAAGATCCTCACCACCGCCCTCTTCTCCGTCCTCCTCTTGGGCACCTCCCTCTCCCGCCTCCAGTGGTTCTCCTTGGCCCTCCTCTTCGCCGGGGTGGCCTTGGTCCAGGCCGAACAAGCCCGAGGTGGGGCCACCTCGGGGTCCAACCCGGAAGGGGGTCCCCCCCAAAGTTACGCCGTGGGTCTGGCCGCCGTGGCCGCTTCCTGCCTCTCCTCGGGCTTCGCCGGCGTCTACTTCGAGAAGCTCTTGAAGACCACGGGGGGTTCCATCTGGGTCCGCAACGTCCAACTGGGGGCGGTGGGGACGGCGGTGGGGCTGGCGGCCATGTTGGCCGCCGAAGGCTCGGCGGTGGCCACCTTGGGGTTCTTCTACCCCATAGCGACGTCCCCATGGTGGTGGCCACCCCTTAGGGTTGACAAACCCTTCTCCCCACAGGTGACCTACCAGCTGAAGATCCTCACCACCGCCCTCTTCTCCGTCCTCCTCTTGGGCACCTCCCTCTCCCGCCTCCAGTGGTTCTCCTTGGCCCTCCTCTTCGCCGGGGTGGCCTTGGTCCAGGCCGAACAAGCCCGAGGTGGGGCCACCTCGTCATGAAGAGATGGAGTGAGCTCGTTAGGTCGTCCATGGAGAGTCATTAGGAGCTTGGATCTCATTAGGGTTCATTAAGAGGTGGTGGGAGCTCATTAGGAGGTGGGAGCTCGTTAGGGGTCATTAAGAGGTGGTGGGAGCTCGTTAGGAGGTGGGAGCTCGTTAGGGTTCATCACGAGGTGGTGGGAGCTCATTAGGGTTCATCAGGAGGTGGTGGGAGCTCATTAGGGTTCGTTAGGAGGTGGTGGAGGATCTGGTGGGGGTCGTTAGGAGGTGGGAGCTCGTTAGGGGTCATTAAGAGATGGTGGGAGCTCGTTAGGGCGTCCATGGAGGGTCATTAGGAGGTGGGAGCTCATTAGGGTTCATTAAGAGGTGGTGGGAGCTCATTAGGGTTCATTGGGAGGTGGTGGGAGCTCGTTAGGAGGTGGGAGCTCGTTGGGGTTCATGAGGTGGTGGTGGGAGCTCGTTAGGGGATCCATGGAGGGTCATTAGGAGGTGGGAGCTCATTGGGGTTCGTTAAGAGGTGGTGGGAGCTCGTTGGGGTTCATTAGGGAGCTCGTTAGGGGGTCCATGGAGCGTCATTAGGTGGTGGGAGCTCATTAGGGTTCATCAGGAGGTGGTGGGAGCTCGTTAGGGTTCATTAAGAGGTGGTGGGAGCTCGTTAAGCTTCATTGGGAGGTGGTGGGAGCTCGTTAAGGGGTCCCTGAAGACTCATTAGGAGGTGGGAGCTCATTAGGGTTCATTAAGAGGTGGTGGGAGCTCATTAGGGTTCATCAGGAGGTGGTGGGAGCTCATTAGAGGGTCCATGGAGGCTCATTAGGAGGTGGGAGCTCGTTAGGGCTCATTAGAGGTTGGTGGGCCCAGCTGTTGGGCTTGTTGAGTGGTGGGGACTCATTAAGGCTCGTTAGGGGTTGGAGTTCGTTAGGAGGTGGTGGGAGCTCATTGGGGTTCGTTAGGAGGTGGTGGAGAACCTGGTGGGGGTCATTAGGAGGTGGTGGGAGCTCGTTAGGGTTCATTAAGAGGTGGTGGGAGTTCATTAGGGTTCATCAGGACGTGGCTGGAGCTCGTTAGGGGGTCCATGGAGGGTCATTAGGAGGTGGGAGCTCATTAGGGTTCATTGGGAGGTGGTGGGAGCTCATTAGGGTTCATTGGGAGGTGGTGGGAGCTCGTTAGGGGGTCCCTGAAGACTCATTAGGAGGTGGGAGCTCATTAGGGTTCATTAAGAGGTGGTGGGAGCTCATTAGGGTTCATCAGGAGGTGGTGGGAGCTCATTAGAGGGTCCATGGAGGCTCATTAGGAGGTGGGAGCTCGTTAGGGCTCATTAGAGGTTGGTGGGCCCAGCTGTTGGGCTTGTTGAGTGGTGGGGACTCATTAAGGCTCGTTAGGGGTTGGAGTTCGTTAGGAGGTGGTGGGAGCTCATTAGGGTTCATTAAGTGGTGGTGGGAGGCCCCATGGAGGTTCGTTAGGAGGTGGGGACTCATTAAGGCTCATTAAGAGGCGGTGGCCCCAGCTGTGAAGGTTAATTAGCCGAGGGGACTCCCTCCGGGTTAATTAGCTGAGGGGAATCCATCGGGCTTCGTTAGGAGGTGGGGCTCGTTAGGTGCTGGGACTAATTAAGGCTCGTTAGAAGGTGGCGGCCCCAGAGGTGAGGGTTAATTAATTACCTGCTGTGACTAATTAATGCTCGTTGGGAGGTGGTGGCCCCAGAGGTGAGGGTTAATTAATTACCCGCTGTGACTAATTAACGCTCGTTAGGAGGCCGCGCGGATGAAGTGGTGGGAGCTCGTTAGGGTTCATTAAGAGGTGGTGGGAGCTCGTTAAGCTTCATTGGGAGGTGGTGGGAGCTCGTTAAGGGGTCCCTGAAGACTCATTAGGAGGTGGGAGCTCATTAGGGTTCATTAAGAGGTGGTGGGAGCTCATTAGGGTTCATCAGGAGGTGGTGGGAGCTCATTAGAGGGTCCATGGAGGCTCATTAGGAGGTGGGAGCTCGTTAGGGCTCATTAGAGGTTGGTGGGCCCAGCTGTTGGGCTTGTTGAGTGGTGGGGACTCATTAAGGCTCGTTAGGGGTTGGAGTTCGTTAGGAGGTGGTGGGAGCTCATTAGGGTTCATTAAGTGGTGGTGGGAGCTCGTTAGGAGGTGGGAGCTCATTAGGGTTCATTAAGTGGTGGTGGGAGGCCCCATGGAGGTTCGTTAGGAGGTGGGGACTCATTAAGGCTCATTAAGAGGCGGTGGCCCCAGCTGTGAAGGTTAATTAGCCGAGGGGACTCCCTCCGGGTTAATTAGCTGAGGGGAATCCATCGGGCTTCGTTAGGAGGTGGGGCTCGTTAGGTGCTGGGACTAATTAAGGCTCGTTAGGAGGTGGCGGCCCCAGAGGTGAGGGTTAATTAATTACCTGCTGTGACTAATTAATGCTCGTTGGGAGGTGGTGGCCCCAGAGGTGAGGGTTAATTAATTACCCGCTGTGACTAATTAACGCTCGTTAGGAGGCCGCGCGGATGAAGTTTAACGGGGGGTTCGTTAATTGGGGTCA